TCTGTCTCGGAAGCAAGAAGAAATCTTTGTATAAATCTAGCAGCGATAATGCATGAAGCTGGGGAGATAGAGAGAATGAAGTCATACATCTTTGGGAGCAAGAAACCAGCCAGATTAGCCGCAGTTTTGAAATGATGTGTGAGTAATGCAGCTACCTCTCCCTGTCGAGGATTCCATGTACAGGAAAAGCCTTGCAGACTGGGGGTCCAAAACCAGACAAATCAGAATATATCATAAAGGAAGAGAGGTTGGGGAGCAGGAGCCCAGAGCCGGTCGTGCCCCAGAGCCCTGAGTCCCCATAGGGAGTCACCAGCCAGGGCACAGCTCCAAACTCCCTGCGGACACGGCTATTTCCATGGGGTGCAGGGAGCAGTAGCCAGGCCCAGGCTTTAAGGTCTCCGTGAAGCCGTTCAGTCTCAGGTAGCAGTTAAAAGGGGGCAGTGCAGAGCCGCTAACCCATGTGGTGGTTCCAGCCAGGATCCCATCCGTCCTGAGCCTGTCTGTGCCGAGCGGGGCGCCACGCTGAGCGCCGGGCGCTCCTCACCCGCATGGCCTGCGCAGCCCTCGCGCCCACGGGCGGCTCAGCAGGCCTTGTGCAAGGCCTTGCCTTGGCCTTGCCTTGGCCTTGCCTCGGCCTGTGCATCCCCGCTGGGTCCCAGGCGGCTCTCGCTCCGTGAGCACCTTGGCCAGACTGATCTCAACGCTCCGTCGCATGACTCACGGCAAAGGACACGGGGTGTTTGGAGCTGACGAGACGCAGAACGTGCTCCCATTTACTAGGAGATGCTCTGGAAGTGGCTTTGAAATAATGATGCAAAGGCGGCTGCAGTTACTGGTGTGCGAGTGATAAGGCTGTGATGTTCCAGTACCTCTAAGCAATGAGTCAAGAAGGAAATGGTAACAGCTGACCAAAATTAATGATGTGGTCATCAACTAGCAGAACTACCGGCCACAAGAAATTCTTGCCATACTTACGCCCGGCACAGATAATATCAGTGACCACTGCCTGACTTTTCATAATTGGATGTATTTATATCTATGAGTACTATATTCAGATCACTGAAACTACAAGCACTATATCCAAAACGTGATAGTTGTCCACATTTGTTGTAGTGAAACCACAGCGTGTCTAAGTAGTTTCCAGCACTCCTCGGCTGTGGTAGTCCCTTTGTTTCACTCCAATATAGAGGTGGCGACTAAAAGAAGGCCCCGGAGGGTCCGTGGTGCTGCAGACTAGGCCTGCAGCACGGCAGGGGCACCAGTGTGACGCAGGCGGCCGATGCTCCTGCCCATCACGTGGCTGTTGACGCCGTGGCTGGCTGGAAACTCACCTGGCTGAGTCCGTAGGTGCTAAACAGGGCGCCGCTCTGCGATCTACACAGTTACAGGCAGAGGGACAAACTTCTCCTCCTACCAAGTGGGCTCACACGCAACGTGGGTCTGGAGTAAGAGCAGGAAACTGCCGCCACTCTACTGGAAAATGCCCATTTTAGTCCCAAGTTCACAGAATCACAGCATGACTGAGGTTGGAAGAGAGATGAGGTTGGAAGAGAGATCTCTCTAGAGATCATCTAGTCCAACCCACCTGCTCCAGCAGGGACACCCAGAGCGTGAGGCACAGGGTGGCATCCAGGGGGGTTTGGAAGATCTCCAGAGAAGGTTCTTGCAGAAAACCTCCAGAGAGTTCTTGCACGGTTGCATGTTTTGACACACAATGAGGAGTAAGTGATTACTTAGTGAGTAATTACAGAGGTTCAAGCACTTTGCAGCCGCTGGTTGGGCATGTGCTGCTTTAAGGGTACCGGTTCCGTTCAGGCACCCTAGGAAGGCTTCCCATGCCGCACTCGCCTTGGTTCCTGTGGCCCGTATTGCCAGGCCGGAAGCAATTTTGGAAGCACTTGTGTGGCCATGAGTGAGTCAACTGAATTGCACTTATTTTAATCTGGTGCTTTGCAGGGCAGCCTGATCTGTTTTTATGTCACACAGGGCTGTAAGTGTCATTACAAAAGTCCTGGTAAGGCAAACGTGACATTTCAGGAGGCTGCAGCAGAAGATTGGGATGGAGGGTCTCAAGTGCAGTTTTCTCCTTCAAGAAAAAATCTCTCTGATGTAGCAACTACAGAAAGGAGAAGACATTGCACATGAAAGGTAAAACACACAAAACAATCGCATGAAAATATTTTAGAGTGTTTCGAAGCATTTTTCCCCTTTCTTATTTCCAGCCTCCAAGTAATGTTTTATCCACATGCTGATTCAACCCACGTATTGAAAGGACAATTGCATAAAGAGAGAAATTCCACAACTCATGATTAGGTCTAGCAATATCCCAAGTAAATATGTTGTGGGTTTTGCATTATTCATAGTCTGTGCTGGGTTTGCAGGGCTAGATTCTCCACTGGCCTCAATTCCTGTTCCGTACTGCTGAGAGTTTGCGGGGCAGTCGGATATGCTGTAAGCTCTCCCAAAATATCCCAGATGTCAGGAACTGCTCAAAGCTGGTCTGGGAGAATCAGAGCACAGTGGACAAAGCAGATGGAGTTGGCTCTTTTTTTTCCCTGGAATTTCCCCCTGCTTAAGAAATCATTATTGAGAAGGTAGCGATTTGAGTCCAGTGAGTGGCACTTGGGAAACAGATCTCAGGAAGAGCTGTCACAGAATCACAGAATCACAGAATGCCGAAGGTTGGAAGGGACCTCAGAGGTCATCTAGTCCAACCCCCCTGCTCACACAGGGTCACCCAGAGCACGGGGCACAGGGCTGCATCCAAGCGGGTTTTAAAGATCTCCAAAGAAGGAGGCTCCACAATCTCTCTAGGCAGCCTGTGCCAGGGCTCTGGCACCCTCACTGTCAAGAAGTGTTTCCTCAAGTTCCTGTGGAACTTTTGCTGCCTCAGCTTGTGGCCGTTTCCTCTAGTCCTATCCCTGCCCACCACTGAAAAGAGGCCGCCCCCTCCTCCTCACTGCCTCCCTTGAGGTATTTATAGACGCTGATCAGGTCCCCCCTCAGCCTTCTCTTCTCCAGGCTGAACAGACCCAGCTCTCTCAGCCTTTGCTCATAGGGCAGATGCTCCAGGCCCCTGATCATCCTCATAGCCCTGCGCTGGACTCTCTCCAGCAGCTCCACATCCCTCTTGTACTGGGGAGCCCAGAACTGGACACAGTCTCCAGATGTGGCCTCACCAGGGCAGTGCAGAGGGGGACAATTACCTCCCTTGACCTGCTGGAGATGCACTTTATCACTTTGTCTGGTCACTTGTGCTGTCATCAAATTTGGAATCTAAGGATCCATTTTTGCGTTTTGCACCAGTTTAAGGCAGTGTCATTCACTGACTGCAAGTTATCAGAGTAACAATTGGGTAAAATTATAAAAATTGCCGCCTTCCAGTTGAAGGTGTCAAGAGCCAAATTACCCAATAGACTCAAAATGTGTTTTGCAATGAGAAGTGGGAAGTTTGGGGTCTTTTATCTGTGAGGGGAAGAGAAAAGAAAAAGAGAAAGGAGATCAACTCTCTGCTTCTAGAACTCAGAAAGTGTTTGCTCATACTTTGAAACTGTGTGAACTTCTGTCTGTGATCACCTCTATAAACTTCATTATAGGTTTTCAAATGGTGAGGCCAAAGGAAAATAGAATTACAAAAAATTGAACAGAAATCCTCTTTGTTCTCTCAGACTGGACTCTGAAATCTTACAGATGTGCTGTAAGAGCAGTAGTGCTCCAGAAACACACAGCACTGGAAGCACTGGCGTAAAATAGCTCTTATCCACAGTGCAGTGCTGAGAGAGTAACAGAAGAATCTGACAACATCCTGAGCATGATCAGTAATACAGCTTTTTAATTCCTAAAAGCCACCAAAATTTACTTACTTGACTCATTTATAAATCTTATTTTTGCAATCAATTAATTTGAATTATTTTTGTTTCAAGTTTTTATTTTTATTTTTATTTTTATTTTTATTTTTATTTTTATTTTTATTTTTATTTTTATTTTTATTTTTATTTTTAAATCTAGTATGCAGACATATGAAACATATGGATTTTTTAAAACTGCATGTGACACAATTTGAGTACTTTAAATTTGAAGCTAAGAAACATGCCATAAGCCATATCACATGAAACTTCACAGTGCAAAAGGAGCTGTCTGTAACTTCTGTGTTGCAAAACTTTGTTCTGTGAATCTCAAGTAATGCAACTTCTGCAATTTTACCTGCAGAAAGATCATACAAAGCCAACTCCATTTATTGCAAAGTTAGGAAATGTGTAATCTAAAGTTAATCATCTAAAGTTAGTTATTATAAGTTCAAAACTGTTATTTTTTCACAGACTCAAGATTTAAAAAAGCTTTTTATGTCTGCTTCTTGTAAAATATAAATATTTCTATAACGATTTAGTTTAAGGATCCCCAACCAGGTTGATATACAAACAATTCTTCCATGTTTCTGTATTGCAGGGAGAGGATGAAATTAAATTTATGTTTGTGTTTTGCCTTCTTTATATTCATGCTTTCGAAAGGGAACATGTTTTATTATTGTGAAAGCACTTTGTATATGTTTGAAGCTCTATGAATGATATTAAAAAAAAGCAAGAAAAAACAAATTGAGACAGCTCAAATATTACATTTTCTCATTCCAGTTAGAGATGTTATGGATTTGACATAAGTCTTCAGCAGAGCAGAGCTGAATGGGGTGTGAAAACACAGGGAGTGTAGATATTGTTTAGTAACACATACCTAAACGCAAAGCCAGGAAAATCAAAGCTAGTTTAAAGTCAGACCAATTTGTAGTTTGCTTTAAACTTTTGTCTTCAGAAGAAGAACTATTTGAGCAAGGACTGCAAAACTAATCCAACTGCAAGAAATGTGATACGTGTAAATGGGCGAAGTGGGATAAGGTGGGATGAGAGACAGAGCTTGACATTTATTCATGGAAAGAGAGCTTAGGAGTTAGAACAGCAGAAGGAAGAGAAATGGATTCATAGCTGACCAACTAGCAGCAGAAATGGTAGCTTAACCTACACAGGGATTTGTAATAGACATAATCACTCCACTTACAATGGGGGTGAGGAGATCCAGATAATTCTATGTTGTTTTATAGATAGATGATACCATCAGGAAACTCATTTTTAGTTTCTGCTTTGATATACTCCTAACTTTCTGCAACTTTAATTTTACAGGATAAAGTTTTCCAGGCTTCTTCTGAGTTCAGCTTGTTCGAGTTTCTGAAGATGACTTTTATTTTTCCCTCCTGCCCTGGTTAAAAGAAGAATTTCTAGCATCTTAGATTTTCCTGTACCCACCAAATGGCTTCAGTGGGAAAATGGTATTTGCCACAGAAATTGTCCTTATGGAGGTATGAAGCCTTCAGCATTCCAGTGGAATTTTGTTTTGATTTGATTTAAAATCACACTGTGAATTTGTGCCATATGTTGGTCACAGAATTATTTATTTATTTATGCACTTTTAAAGCATAAAAGCAAAAGGACCCTGCACTGTGTCTGTATTCATGGTTGATACTAGTTTGAGCCATTTGGTGACCAGATATTTACTCTGTGGATTGGTGTCTATCTCTTTTCAAGATACAGCAGAAGTTACTCCAGGAGTGCCTACGAGGGTTGTTTATATAACTATGCCCTTGTCTGCTGGCAGCAACTGCCTCTGTGTTTCCGCTGGAGCAGACAATCCAATCCAGGTCACTTCCTGGCTCGCAGCAGTTTGTTTGTAGACCTGGCCCCTCCGTCCAACTGGGCAGTTGGAAAGGCTCCAAAAGGGGGGTTGTTTTGTTTTGTTTATTTCTTGCTCCTTCCTCCAGAAAATGGAGCAAAGATTCTGGTGCCTCATGTCTAGCTCATCACTCAGTCCAGCCAGGCTGTGGAGCAATTTCTGTCCAGGCTTCCAGTGGTACATCTGAAGAGAAAAGGTGTTATGCTGTTTGTCATGCACTGCATTGTAAAAGAAAGCAGCAGTAATTGTCTTTTGTCAAGAAGACTATATATGTTGCAATGTTTCAGGGTCTTCAAGTGCTTGAAAAGTGGCTAGTTCTATCAAGTATATTCATGCCAAGGTCTCTATTTATCTCCTATTCAAATTTGTCTTTTCTTGCTAGCAAATTTTATTGTCTTGCTCGTTACTACTGTGCTCTGCTGGTCTATGGATGTGCTATATTTTGCCTCATTCTGGGAGATGCAAAGTGCCTTTTCTTAGTGTGCTACGTGATATGCCTAATAACCTCTGACATTTGTTAGGATTCCCTCTCTCCCATCAGTAGATTTTTTTTTTAGCATGTTCACAGTTTGTGCACCTTGTGCTTCACGTTTATAATCTTTAATTTCCTGAGGTTTTTCCTTTTGCACACGGAACTCCCGGCACCCTGGGGAAGCTGGGGAGCTGCGCGGCAGCCGAGAGCGAGGCTGGCTGCACTGACTGCGGCCAGCGCAGCCACCACCTCTCACCGCCGAGCGCAGCCTTTGCTTCAGATTTTGCAGGTGTACAGAGACCTGTGTTAGTGCTGCTTTCCTCACCTGTTCAGATGTGCAGCCTGTTCAGATGTGTCTGCAGGAGCTGCCATCATTTCTTGCCTGGAATAATGAGAAGGCTCCTGAGAAAGGCCTTTCCATGGCACAGAAGAGCTTTAGTTGTGGTATTTTCCTGGAAAAAAAAAATAAAAAGTGACTTTGTTGACCAGTTTTCTTCTCAGAGCTTCAAGCAAGATTGATCTGTACTATTATGCACCCTGAAGAGTAAAACTAAAGTGAACTTGACTTCATGTTGTACGTCAGAGATAGAGAGTGGCTGGGTGACAAAAGGCAGCTCTAATGAAATGCAATTTGGCTGCTCTAAGTTTCACGTTGACTAAATAGGAAGCTGAATGTGAAGGCAGACCCACTCCACTGGTGTAGCCTAATATGGTGAGCAGGATATGTTCTCACTTGTGCCTTGTGCAACTCTTCTGCAGTCAATAGTTACCTCAGAAACGAGCATATCCTGGCTTTCTCCCCACTTTTAAAGACACACATTCAGCAGCCTAAAGATTCGAGGTGGACTTTGACTTTACTAGGAGGTCTTTGACTTAATCTTTCTTAGCTATTTCATGAGAGGATTGGTGTGACAGTACCAGCTTCAGAGAAGGCCTAACTATTTACCAGTGTTCTGTTGCTGGTCTGTGCTTGCTTTTGGTTAATTTCCTGAAATATGCACTGTTTAAACCTTGATGATTTCTGATCAATCTGATTACTGTAATATGCAAAAATACTATTTAGAGGAAAAAACACTACGGTTTATTGTTTTGAGCAAGTCAATGGAGCAATTCTGTACTGATTTTCTTCTGTATTTAATAGGAAATTGCAGTTTTGCTTAACATGCAAATCTTGAATCATCATCAACTTGTTATATTTGAATCATATTCAGATTTGGACCATTTAAATATCTCATAAAATAGGAAAGACAATGAATACAAAGACCATGATTCCTGCTTTGGTAAAGATATTAATGTGCTTGTTATCAAGCACAGACATGAGTTTACATCAAGAGACACTTCCTAGTACCAGTGACTACATGTTTTTGGATTGAAAGATAAAAACCTTTTAGGCTTACATGCTTAATCAGCTCAGTGTCACTAGGTCATACATATGTTGAGCAATTTTCCTTTCATTCAACAAAATTTAGCTAAATTGTAGAGTAAATGAAGCAGCAAACGCAAGAATAAGAAATTATCCATTTTTGGTTAATATGTTATCAAAGAAAACAAAAAAACCCCTCTAAAACAGTGTGTTCAAGGCATCATGATTGGCTAAATATTATGGAATGGCTAAATTTTGAGATGGCTATTTCTAGAGATTCACAAATTCTTAGTCTTACAGATACAAATTGTCTCACTGAGGTTCATGAACTCATGAGCTCGAAGATCCAAGCATGTGAATCACTGTTTTCTGGACTGGAAATTATGTTACAAGCTTTGGTCACACCTCGAGTTACAAAGCATCTTATGTGTAGACCACACCTGCTTTTAAAATGAAAATTTTGGTCCTTGTAGACAAAACCTCCCTTTTACATTTTCAACACAATGCTCATTACGAAGGACATTCAGACTGTCCAAATGCTCTGCCTGTGGGAGAAGTGGCAGATTTTAGGCTTCGAAATCTCAGAGAGATTCAAAACTTCTCATCCCCAGCACTGTCTAAATCTGTAGGGACCTAAAAGCAATTGATGCCTTATAGTTTCCTGGACAGCTGTGTGAAGCATCCTTGACATAAATTCTCCTTTAGGTTTAATAGAGACAGACAAGCACTCTTACTCGGCCCTGGTTGCTTGGAAAGCTGGTCCAGCAGATGGGTTTGAAGCACACTCAGTTTGCATGCAGCCAAACGGAAGCACAGCAGCTTCTCTCAGCAGAAACACTGGGGTTCCCACATGTACCACTCTAGTCCAAGGCTATTCACTAGCAAATAAGTGTGCGGGTGTTGGGCCCTTTTCATACCCAGCTCTCACATCCGGATGCTCCGAGCAGCCTCGTGAACGGCGTGGGTCTGCTCTCCACCTGCTGCGCTGCCATCAGAAAGCGCTGCAAGATGTTCGAGGCAAATGGGAGTGAAACACACGCAGCTTTGTGACAGGAGCCCTGGGAAGGATGGGTAAAGGAAGGATAAATCTTGGTTTTCAAAGACTCCTTGTGCCTTTTCCCATAGCTGCCGGACAAACCATGTAAATACTACCCCAAGCTCAGCACAGCTCCATGTTTTGTCACTCCTGGGGGCGGGGGGATCCTTCCTGCCGGGCTGCAGCACCAGGCATCCTCTTACCTACTCTATTACAGGCCACATGAATTTTGCATTTGTCTCACAGGGCGCTTTGAATCACCCTGCTGAGGCCTGGCGTCGTTCCTGCATATGTTTCAGCACCCAAACTGGGTGCCTAAAAGCAGTGCCAATTGCACTCTGTGTCTTTAATGACTGTTTCTACTCTGTTCAACACTGCAACTGCAGGAAGGCCTGTGTTTGTGCTTTATGTGCTGCCTCCTATATGAAACACAGGGTTTGCAGAGTACCTGCTATGTCCTCTTTGGACCGCAGTTGCTGAAATGGCACATCTGCATTTCCAAGCACAGCCAAATGCTCCGAATCAAAGGGCTGTGGTAACAGTCAGCGCACAACGAGGGAAAGTAAACATGAATGTTAACACTGTCGTAGCTTGCTCCTGTTTTCACCATAACTGTACATACTTCTCACTGAAAAACAAAAAACAACAGGTAGCTGTGAACAAGGGAACCTAAAATGTAGGGTTTTTTTTTTTTTAATGAAGTAAAATAGCAAATAGTGAATATTCAGGATTGAAAAGCCCAAATGCCCTAGCACTTGGCTGCAGCTTGTTTCACAACCACGACCTTGAGATCAACTCACAGCACCAGTGACTCAGGTTTGTTAGTGGAAATTGTTTAGTGACCAGCGATTAACGACTCGGCACTTTCTGGTTTGCAGTGATTTTTTTCTGTGTGCAGAAATGCCATTGCCTTTTCTGGCATCACAACGGAAGCCAAAGAACCACCACTGCAGCCTCAACCTTAAATTATTCAAAAACTCCTCGAGTTTCCTTTTTGAAGGAGTGGGCCCGGCCAGAGCCTCAGATAGAGCTGACAACGCCAGGGCAGACTGATTAAATGTTTAATGCCGCCTCTCTCTTTTCGCGGTCCCTTCCTGGCTTCCAGGGCCCGAATCCTGCGCTCAGCAGGATCACCTATCCGTTCCCGGTCACGACAAACGGTAAGAATAGTGAGAAACGCTTCCTCCTCCTCACCAACGCCACCCCACCCCCGGAAAGCGCCCGTCACAACCCGCTGTCTAACCACCCCCAGCCAACTGCCGCGGCCGTTTGAGCCGTCCCAACCGCCGCCTCCCGCCCCGCGCCCGCCGCT